TTAGAACCTGCCCTCAAGAAGCTTACAATCTAGTGGAGGAAGACACAAAAGCAAGCTAAAAAAGGGATCAGGGGAAGTACCAGATAGTGAAGACATCAGTTAGAAAAGTCCCAAAGTAGTGAAGCCAGGTAAGAAATGAGGAGATGGATAAACATCCACTCAGAGTTCACGTCCCGCTCTCCAATCAGAGAAGAAGAGGGTAGTGTTGAGGTTGCATTACAAAGCTGATGATAGGGTTATCCCAATAATGAACTTTCTAGGGTGGCAGAGTACTCAGTGGAGAAATCCCAAGGTTAGTGCAGCCAGGTGAGAAAAGAGGAGGGTCATTATTGTCATTTTCTTCGACCAAATTTTCTATCGTTCCTAAAATTTGTTCTTTTAACCCACAAGTTCTTTAGAATTATGCTACTTGGTCTCCTATTACTTTTAAATTCTTTCTTTAAGAGCTCATTAATTTAATAAAACTTATATTGAATTATGATCCATAAAGAGAGTTAATAATTCTTGTTATTCATGGTAGTTATGTTCCATAAAGTCAATGTGAACACTGAATTAGCAAACACTGATACCGAACCATTGCTCCTAGAGGAAATACAAGGTTAGGTTCCTGCAAGGTTCAGATTTTGGAGCAGGAAGATCTCTGTTCAAGTTCCAGTTTAGGTACTTACCAACTATGACTTTGCACAAGCTCTCTAGGTTTTAAGCTTTATTTGTAAAATAAAGTGGTTTGGGCCAGATAACCAACCTCCAAAGGCCTGTCTCACTCTGCAATCCATGATTCTCTGATCTGTGACTTTTGGGGGGTGAATACGCTTTCTACCAACACAGAACACAACTTCTTTTGGTCCTCAGGGCCAAAAGATTCAACACTATGCAGGCGATTTGGTGATCAGTCAGTCCACCAACATTTATAAACATTACTATGTTTCAGGCACTGAGCTGCTTGCTGAGGATACAAAGACAACACAGTACAATGGAAAGAAAGATGGCTGTAGACTCAGAGGACCCCAAGTTATTATCCCGCCTGTGTAACCTTGGATAAGCCATTTATCTCTGGGCCTTGGCTCCTGCATGGGTGTGTGGGGGCTGTGGGGTATGTATGGAAGATTGTCTCAGATGGCCTCTAAAGTCCCTTCCAGCTCTAGAGTTTACATCTCTGCCCTCAGGGAGCTTACATTCTACTAGAGGAGACAAGCTATACACTTGTAATCATGCACATAATATACACAAATGGATACAACAACATGGTCATAAAAGGGAAGGCCCGAGCAGCCTAGGAGATCTGAAAAGCTTTCATGTTTCCCTCCTCTCCCAACATCTCCTACACTATCATGCAGTCTCCACCCTTTCTTTCCCTCTACCAACCCTGTCCCTCACCCCTACCTCCTCCAGGAGAATAATTATTGGATTTGAAATCAAAGGGCCAGAGTTTGAATTTTGGCTCTCCCACTACTTCTCAACAAAGACAGCTGGCATTCAATGAGCCTTTAAGGTTTGCATTTGACATGTGATCTCATTTGCTCATTTGATAAGTCATGCATCCTTTCTGGGCCTCTGAGATGAAGTCAAAGGTCCCTTCCAGCTATGAGTCTATGATACCAGGCTGTTGACTCCAACCAAAATACAGCACATACTTACCTTCAGGTGAGTCCTGAACATTTAATAAGTTGCAAATTAATAAATAGGAATAAAAAAAAAGAATCACACTACAAGTTTAGCTATTAGAAGGAAAGAATTACCTTATTTTTCTCTATTTTCAGTTTCTATTTTTCTATTCTTTTTCTATTTAGATTTCTGAGACAAATGAGCTTTGGAGGACTTTGGGGAGGGGATGGACCACGTTGCTCTGCAATTTCACCAATGTGTGGTGTCACCACATTCAGATAGCAACTGTTCTGAAACGTATAGCCTTAGACAGGCAGAATGATCCGGTGAACAGAGAACTGGCCCCAGGGCCGAGAAGTTCTGACTCATATGTGCTGGCATCCTGGCTATGGGATTCTGGGCAAGTCACTAGACAACTCTTGCCTCTAAACAATTCTTTTAACTGTAGGTTACAGAATTAAGAAAGCCATGAATCAATACCAACACCTTTACCTGTTACCCACAGGGCTTCATGGTTGCCAGGTTTTAGGAAACCTCTATGAAAATCAATTTCATACCTGTTGACTCTGTGAAAAGCTTTAACCCAATTCTCCCCAAAAGGTTAAAAAAAAAACTTAAACACAAATGGTGACAAAAATAATAAAATGTATTTAAGTTAAAAAAAAAAAACCACAAAACCAGCAGTTACACTAGACTGAAGGGAGGACTTGAATGTATTGGTCAATTGAAGACTGAAGTTCCAGACGACCCCCCCCCCCAGCAGTCCCCAGCCCTACTCCAACAGGTTAGCCACTAAGAAGGGGAATTTCTTGGCTAAGGTGCTCTGTGAAAGTCTGGTAAGGCATGTAGGAGGAGCAGTGGTCTGAGCTGGTCAAAGGGAGCATCTGTGATGGATTCTAAAGCCCCTGAGTCTCACACTAAGCATTCCTAAACTAGTCTGGCCTTCCTTGCCCTCCTCTCCTCTAAACTACGGGAACTCTCCATCAATGGACCCTAGAGGTTTTTGGGTGAAAAGTAAGTTAAGAGTTCATCTAGTCCAAATCCCTAATCTGACAGAAAAAGAAACTGATGCCAAATATTTCACAGGCTGCAAGGGCTGCAGCCAACTCTGCATTTACAGACTTGCCACTAATCATTTAGCTCCAAAGCTCCTTGGAGGGTCATAGAGCAGGAGCTGCAAGGCACGCGTGCAGGTGTCTGGTCCAGCCTCCTCCTTTTACAGACCAGGAAACCCAGGTTTGGATAGACAATTGACTTCTTCAAGGTCACACAGACGGTGATTTGGCAGGGGTGGGATTCAAATCCAAGTGGACAGAGGATGCTCAGTCCAACACCCCTCCGCTGCACCAGGCTGCCTCAAGAGAAAGACTCCACCTGAGAGTCCACGAGACCTCCACCAGCCTGGCCCAGGGATGCATTCCTAGTGGTTATTCAACAAATGCTCAGGAGATGGCAGGACCGTGAAAATGAAAGTGAGACTTCCCCTCCACCTCATCTCCTGCCCATTCTCGGCAAGGTCTTTCCCATAAAAATCCCTCCTATGAACATGTGGCAGAACCTAGAATGTCAAGAGCTGGCTTCATGTTTGCCTTTGTCTCTCTAGAGTCTAGCAGGGGTAGGAGCTTAATACATATGTACTGAACTGAATTTCAAGTCTTAATACCTCCTTCTGCTCCTTAAAGTCCAAACTACTACTATGTTCTTTTTTTTTTAAGCTCCAAATGTTGGGGAGTTTTGGGATGAGATTTAGGACAGAAGTGTATAAACTGTATGTAAATCTTCTGGAATAGTTTGGGACCCAAGTCTAGGACCCCGTTTATGTTCAAGAAGGGTGTGACACCTGACAGTTCTAACCTTAAAGATGATGTGTCGAGTGGCTTGGGAAGAAAGGTAAACTCTTTGTTGTTTAAGGAGGAAGAAAAAACACAGCTGGCCTCAGCACAACTAGATAACGTTGAAAAAAGAAAATTAGGACTTTGGGAGAGGTAAGAATAAACAGTTAGTCAGCCTATGTAGCCTCCCAAACATTTGTTTTCATACCTCCAGGGTGTGGATATGCCGATTGCATATAAAGACTATACAGATGAATATGACATTTGTACTTGCATTAATAGGCTCCTGGCAGGGTTTAAGTGGAAAACTTCAGCAACCTGTCTGGAGAGATGGCCCCCTAACTGAAGTCAAAACATTAAAAAAAGAATCTATTCCGTCTGTACAGACTTGAGCCAACAATCTATCCAGCTACATAGCTAGTGGTACAATTGCAGGATGAGAAGTAATTTAAGAGCACCTTTTACAGGCGACCTTTCAAAGGCTGCAAGAGGCTAAACCCTGCTCCCAAGCAGGCTTTATGAACTCCTACCTATGGCTTAGGCATCTATTTCCTTCTCTGAATTCTCAGCCTGAGTAATTACTTGGCTTTCCTATGTAACCTTGATGTATTTATAAAACAGACTCTGGTGATCTTATTAGATATTCCAGGTATTACCAGGTCTTTGAACCCAGTTAGGTTAGGTTAGGTTTTACAAAATCCAGTTGAGCCACCCAGGTCCCTGGGGAAGGGCCTGGAACACCAGCCTAGCTCCTGCCTAACCCAGGGCAGCCTGCCAGCTGAACCTGGACATCCTATTTCCTGCTGGTCCTGGGGAGGGGGTGGGGGAAGCTGCTGTGGCCCCCAGGCTGGAGCCCCACTGGAGCAAGCTTGCATCCCTGGGATCACCGACCAGGGGCTCTTTTTCTTTGGTTTGAAAGGCTGGGGATACAGGGAGGGGAAGTCCTTGGAAGGCGGGGGGGGGGGGGGGGGGGGGGAGGAAGGAAGCCAGGTGCTGTCTGGCGCACAGCTAGGGAAAGGGGGGAAGGGTGTTGGTCTCCCCTCCCCTCCTTCCCCTTCCTCCTTTGCTTCTTCTCCTCCCTCCCCCTTTCCTACATCTTTCCTTCCCTCCCCCTTTTCCCTCTTCTTCCCCTTTCCTCCCCAGTCCTTCACCTCTCCTCCCGTTTTTCCTCTTTCCCTCCTTCTCCCCCCTCATTTTCCTTCTACCCTGCTTCCCTTTCCCCATTCCCCTTCCCTTCCTCTGCTCAGTGCGCCTCCCTCCCCTCCCCCACCCCCTCCGCGTCTCCTCCTCCCCCTCCCCCACCCCTCTTCGCCTCCCTCCACCCCCACCCCCCGCCCTGGGCTCTGCGGCAGGGACTGGGAGGAGAAACCCCGTAGGGGGAAGGGGGAGGGAGGAGGGAGGAGGGAACTTGAACAGGCTCGCCGCTCCAATTGCTGCAATATCCTTCCGCTCTAGGCCAAATAATCCCTTCACCCTTAAAAAGCCCCGGGGGCTTCTCGCGCCCCCCAAAACACCCAAAAGCATCGGTGCCCGACTTTCCTGTCCCTTGGTTCTGGGTTTTACCTTAGGTAGCGCCTCAGCGGCGGGATTCGTGGCCGCGGGCGAGTTGATGGCAGATATCCCTCCGCAAGAAACGCGTCCCGGCGGCGCGCATATAAAAGGCGGGTGGCGCGGCGCCGCTGTCTTTTCAGTCGGGCAGTGAGCGTTGGTTCGGATCATGTCTGGTGGCTCCGCGGATTATAACAGGTACGCGCTTGGAGCGGCGGTGGGGCCGGGGCCTTCCTGGGTGGACTAGGTTGTGTAGCGGGCACCCGGGGAGACGCCGGGTTCCCGGGCGACTTCGGGGGCGCGGCGCCGGCGCCGCTTCGAGAAGCTTCTACGGCGCAGCCGCGGGGCCCGGCCCGGCCTCGCTGGGGCGGATGCGGAGGCGGGGGAGGGGGCGCCGCTCCTGCCTTGTCCCCGGGGCCCGGCCTAGTAACGGCCGCGGGCGGTCTTTTCCCGGTGGGGAGTGTGTGCGTATGCGTGTGCTTGGGTGGTTACGCTCCGGCGGGGAGGAAGCGGCGGCGCTTCGGGCCTTCTCCCGGTCCCCTCCCCCAGGCAGGCCCGCGGCGGTTCGGGCGGTTGGCGGCCTGGGCGCCCGCTCGCCCCGCGGCTCTCTCCCTCCCTCCCCCGCCGCCGGTGTCAATCATGAGCCTGGCGCAGTGCGAGGGGCGGGGCCGGCCGTGCGCGCCGCTCTCGCGAGAGCCGCCCTCAGGGGGCGGGGAGCCCGGGGCCGCGGCCTGGGCCTGGGCGCCAACGGCCGGGGCCACGTGCGGGCGGGGGACGGCTCACGGCGCGTCTTGTGGCCCGCAGAGACCATGGCGGCCCAGAGGGAATGGACCCCGATGGTGTCATCGAGAGCAACTGGAACGAAATCGTGGACAATTTTGATGATATGAATCTCAAGGAGTCTCTGCTCCGGGGGATCTATGCGTACGGGTTCGAGAAGCCTTCGGCCATCCAGCAGAGAGCCATCATCCCCTGCATCAAAGGTAGGCCGAGCGCCGCCCGGGGACCGGACCGGACTGGACGGGGCGGGAGGGGGAGCCCCCTGTGACATGATGGCCTACCATCTTTCGGGACTGACCTGGAATGGAGAGAAGCGTCTGCTGATCACGACCGAGGGGCCAAAAAAGGAAGAGGGTGCTCTCCTGGAAATGACTCTTTGTGGGAGCAGTAAATATGTATCCTACTTTTTTTAGGATATGATGTGATTGCTCAAGCTCAGTCAGGGACTGGCAAGACAGCCACATTTGCTATTTCCATCCTGCAACAGTTGGAGATTGAGCTCAAGGAGACCCAAGCACTAGTATTGGCCCCCACCAGAGAACTGGCTCAACAGGTATTGATAGCGTAGTTCAAAGAAAATTGCTTGCTTGTGGCAATAGTTTGAGGTTTCTTAACTCTGTAGAACAGCTAATCATTCGAGCTGCTAACTTTCTCTGTCATCTACATGTTAATGTAGTTATCCGTAGGGTAGTATGCATGGATCTGGGTTCAGGTATGATTGCAGGGATGTTCCCAGCAAATAAATTCCAAGGTTTAATGTTTTGAATAAGAGATATGACAGTTTTGAAGGTAATAGAACTGAAATGCAGTTGTATAACATAAAAACTGCATTGCACGTCTGATTTAAGTTTAAGGCTTGCTTACAATATACTTAAGATTTCTTAGGTAATTAGAAGAGGTTTTTTTTTTTGTCGGAAGGTTATAAACATTACTAGATTGTCATAACTACAGCCTGATGGAATAGCGTCAAGTGCTACAAGCCGCATGGACTAGATAGCAAGATAACTGGGTTGTATGTTTTTGCATTTGACATGCAAAAAAGGTCACGATAATTTTGGACTAATACTAAATATGTGACTGCATATTTATGTCTGGTTCCAGAGTAAGATTCAGCATTTGCTAAGTTTTAGGTAGTATAGAATGCTTGTTTGGTAATTTTGCAAAATTGACTTTTTTTTCCCTAAACTTAGATCCAGAAGGTAATTTTAGCTCTTGGAGACTATATGGGAGCAACATGTCATGCCTGCATTGGTGGAACCAATGTTCGAAATGAAATGCAAAAACTGCAGGCTGAGGCACCACACATTGTTGTTGGAACTCCTGGGCGAGTGTTTGATATGCTAAACAGAAGATATCTTTGTAAGTTGCAATTCTGAGTGATTGGGTCTTGGTTTTAATACTCTAGATGTTATTAATGGATATTTCTGTTTCCTCTTTGATGTGGGGTAGGTTTTTTTTAATGAGTAGTATAAAAATGAAAACAGTTAAATCTGTTCTAATATGTGGTTAGATTCAGGACCTTCCTGGTTATAAATTTTTATGGGGTTACAGTAATTATAATACACTCTATAGTGTACTTGTGGGGATAGAAGGGAAATAAGGCTTAAGAAAAATTCTTAACCAGAAGTAAAATTCAACATGGCGCTTTTTCTTAACAGCTCCAAAATGGATCAAGATGTTTGTTTTGGATGAAGCAGATGAAATGTTGAGTCGTGGATTTAAGGATCAAATCTATGAGATTTTCCAGAAATTAAGTACAAATATCCAGGTATAAATATGTGGGGTTTTATTCTAGTGTAAAGGGGTATTGCAGGTTTAAGTTACAATGTGGCTGTGAAGTGCCTATGTTGTCGTTCCCCCTGCTCAAAAGAAATGTTTCCTACTATCCCTGTCTAACTTGTCTATAGTAAGACAGGGACGCTTGGTCTCAAACATTTGGATCATTAGTAGAATCAAAGCTACTGAATTAAGCAGCTTGTTTTTAAAAATATGCACTTGTCCTTTTTTCCAAAGGTTGTGTTGCTCTCTGCCACAATGCCAACTGATGTGTTAGAAGTGACCAAAAAGTTCATGAGAGATCCTATTCGCATTCTGGTGAAGAAGGAAGAATTGACCCTTGAGGGAATTAAACAATTCTACATTAATGTTGAAAGAGAGGTAACTTAAAACTATTCTGTGGGAGGTTAATTTTCTAGCCAAAATATGCCTTCTTGTTTAAAAGCACTGTGCTAAAATTGCAGAAATTAAGGCGATGCCTTGGTTTTTGTGATAATGCTAGCATAGTATATACAAGAAGAAGAACAAATGCACTAGATTGAAAAAAGACTTGGGTGGACCTCTTTCTTAATGTCCAGTGTCCTGTGTCTTAAGATCTTAGTGCGATATACATGAATCATTTACATTGGTAAACTTCTGGCCTTTCACTTCCTGGAATAAGTATGGAGGTTTGGCTTTTGCCTTATTTGAGATATAATCTTCTTTTAGGAATGGAAGCTGGATACTCTTTGTGACTTGTATGAGACACTGACCATTACACAAGCTGTTATTTTTCTGAACACGAGACGAAAGGTAGATTGGCTGACTGAAAAGATGCATGCCAGGGATTTCACAGTTTCTGCTCTGGTAAGAGACATGGTGTTTGGTATTTCATCGAAGGTCGATATCTAGTTTCCTAGATAGAAGTCATTTTTCTCACTTTAATGAATTTAATTGATGCAGGAACTAGTTACAATATAGCTGTGTAGTGCTATGTTGTCGTTCCCCCTGCTTAAATTAAAATGTTTTTTACTATCCCTGTCTGTTTTGTTCTATATGCCATAGCAGCCAGGGATGCTTGATCTCAAACATTGTTAAAAGGCTTAAAACCTTAGCCAAGATTTGGCTATGATTTTTTTTTAAGCCCATCAGCTTTTCAGTGAAACAAGTTGAATAAAGATAAATATTTAAATAGTAAATGTTAAGCATGGGTTAGAAGAAAAAGTACTAAAATTTGAAAATTTTGTTTGCTTTGTAGCATGGTGACATGGACCAGAAGGAGCGAGATGTTATCATGAGGGAGTTCAGATCAGGGTCAAGCCGGGTTCTGATCACTACAGACTTGTTGGTAATTATATATAACATTTTAAAGGATGGATACTACAGAAGCGTCCCAAAAGCTGCTTATTTGGGAAAGGTCTTTTAATTACCATTTCCCAATTAAAAGCTGTCTGGGAGAGGAAAAGACCACACTCCACAGTGAGCTACATTGTTGTAGTCCATTACTTACTTTGTGGCCAACAGTCAGGTGCACATGAAGAAATGGTGGGTTTGGAGTGGATTAATGAATGTCACTTAACTTAGTCATGGGCTAGCTTTTGAGACTGCTAGTTTGATGTGGACCTTAATTTTGTTACTATTTCTTTCTAGGCTCGTGGGATTGATGTGCAGCAAGTGTCTTTGGTTATAAACTATGATCTACCTACCAATCGTGAAAACTATATTCACAGGTTAGTAGATGGCATATGATTGGATTATATGTATCATTGTTTTATTTACTGGCATTCTGTAGCTTCCAGATAAAAATTGTGCCTTCAAGCTAGACAGACTTAAATTCTAGGGAATAGATTTCAGGAAGAAACTGACACAGTGCTGCTATTTAAATGAAGTTTATTTTGGGGGAAGAGCTTTTGGCTCAGTTACAACAGTGGGAAAACTTACCTTGAGTCTGGAACGTGGCCCAAATTTTGAAGTTTTGTAAAAGGAAAGGAAAAGACTCGCTTTAAATTGAAATTGGAAGAAGGGTTTAGGTCTTGTGGCATTATATTTGAGCCTTAGTTCTTTTAAGACTCATTGTGTTTCTCATATTGCTCCTGTGTCTTGTGCTTTCTTGGTGATTTTTCTCTAGTGGGATTCTCTCTTGGTGTATTCTGGTAGTAACCGAGTTTTGTGTCCCTGGCATATAGTTATAGTGGCTTGATCCCTAATTAAATTAAATTGTGCTTTGTTACTTGATGTAAAAAAAGACTTTTTAAAAAATACAGGAGTCGATAGCAGCAGTTGATGACGTGAGATGGCACTCAGAAACGGCGTGACCTAATTTAGGACGTGGATTCATAAGAGAAACAGCACACTGTTTGAATAAAGAGCGAGTCGGTATTTATATATTTGTTTTTCTTTTGTCATGATTATTTGATATTTTAAGTTCCCAACGTCCTAGCCAAAGCCATTTTGTTGTGTATTAGCTTTTGTATATTAGGTGGTTTGTATTGTCTGGTTTCTATGAAGGAAGGCAGATGTTGGGTTTTAACCA